ATTGATAAAATCTACTACTAATGAAACTTCAAATGCTAAAATACGCAATACAAAAATACTGCAACATGCGAAACCAACTAGAGTACCTATTCAAGCACTGGAACAGAAAGTGTGTCTGGTTTGAAAGCATTCGAGGCAAACAAAACTTTGGCATATGCTACATTGAGTCCTTATCTTCTTGGCGTGGTTGTTGGCGAAAATGCGACCCTTATCCTTTGCCAGTTTCTGGTAAGCAACATTTGCACCGTCGACGATGGTCGCGCGAAAGATCCTTATTCTCCATCAGTTTTCTTTTTCTCCCATGACTGAAGTTACTTTCTCCATTCAGCAAGACCTTAACAATCACATATTTAAACTCATTCAGCTGCATCGTAGCGTTTAGGTTGTACAGAAGCCAAGCGTTGACCAAGGCAGTTTGCGTAACTAGACGGAAAAACAGCCTCATGTACCACTTCGCACTCCTTCTCACGAACGGCGTGTAGGCTGCCATCTGGTCACTCATATCCACGAAGCCCTTCATTTTGTTGTAATCTTCTATTACTTGTGGCTTCATATTGGTGCTGTAGGCCCATCATGCCTGGTTGGAAGCATAAAAATGTCCCTCTTGTCCTTCCACTTTAGAAGCATTACTCCTTATTGTTCTGTTGAGAAAACGACTGACCTCTGTGGAGCTTCCTGGTCGTCAAAGCGGGAGGAATGCCTTTTCGGTTCTTTCTGATTGTTCCAATGAGGTTGGTCCTTCTGGAAAGCAGGGAGTCGGCTAAAGGCAAGCTAGTGTACCAGCTGTCGGTGCAAAGATCTCGTCCCTGGTCCAAATAGCCCTCCATAAGCTCCAGAACCACAGCATCAGGCACACCGCCTACTCTAGTGACATCTCTACCGGCATAAACTTTCACTTTTGAGTGTATCCTCCTTTTGAACAGAGTTTGAAGAGTTTGATGCCGTACTTGTACCTCTTCGATTTGTTGAATTGTCTAAAAACGACTCGCCCTCGGAACGGCACCATTGATTCGTCAATACAGAGTTCTCTGGATGGTCTGTACATCTTCTGAAAGGAGCCGTTCAGGGAATCCAATATAGGTTGGATTTTGTAGAGGCGGTTTCCTTTGTCGGCGTTGTCGTTGTCAACAAAATGAAGGCTCGTCAACAAGGTTTCGAATCGAGTTCTGACCATCACATTCGTGACAGCTGGGTTGCACAGTAAATTCCGTCTGTAGACCAGCTAGTCACGAAGCTTTGGCAGCCGAACGAGACCCATGTAGAGACAGATGCCGATGAATTGTCTTATCTCTTCCACAGTAGTGTCAGTCCACTCCTTTTTCTTCTCCTTCATCTTCTTGCTACCATACCTGTTTGTCTCCATAACTATGAGATGGAGCAATTCGTCGTTCAGGAACAGTTGGAAATAGTCAATTGGATTTTTGCAGTTTTCAAGGTCCTCGTGTGGTCCACAATCTTCAGCGAAAACGAATCTGTTGTATTTCGTGACATTTTCGGTCCAACATTCTTGTTCTTCTTCTTCTCCTGAACTTTCTTCGTAATCAGAGTCGTCGTCGTATTCCACAGGTACTATCAACCCTTGGGCGGTTGTGTCATCATTCAGCATAGGCTCATTATCATCACTGTCGATCAACAGTTGATCAAAACTAGCATCCAGCTCTGTGAAGTCGCCGTAGGTATCCATTGCCATATAGGAGATTTGTTGCTAATCAATGCTTACTCAGGGTATTCACACTGACTCTTCACGTGCTTATCACATGCACATGGTTTTCCTACCTAACTCATCCACAGTAATTATCATTGAAGCCCTTAAGGATAGCCCAGAAGTCGCAGCATTCGATATCTTTCAATAACGCTCATGATGTCAGCGAGTTTGAGAGGGTGTTTTCAAAAACTGCTCTGTGGGACAATGCGTCCCAATGCTGGGACGCAATTCTCGACAAATGCGAGCGCGCGATGTCCCACGTGGCAGACACGCGAAAAAACGCGTTGTCGCCAATGTGTTAAACTGACAAACCCTGAAGCTCCTTCTACTTTTAGGCTCAATCAATGCCACTCCTTCGTTAAAGTAATTCTAGTTTTGCACGACGAGTCCTTTAAATCTTCTCGCGAAGAATATCTGTGCCGCTGTTGTACATCGCCTAAGCTCACAGGATCGTCCAGACTTAGTTTTCACTTTCATAATTAATGCTGCCTTGTTTCCGAGCAAAAAGTCAAAAGTAGGAGACACAGTTGGCGGGACACTTCTTCGTCTGAGGGGATCAAATCCATCCAGTTAGGACAGAGCGGGAGGGCCCCAATAAGTATAAGGAATTCCCTCTCTCACCACACAAACTGTTTGGTTGTACCACATAGCGAACGCGCCTGCCGCGGAGATTTTGGACATAGGACGGGGGGGGGGGGGGGGGGGGGGCCGGGGGGGGGGGGGAATTGGAACCCCCCCCAATCTCCATCCTACCGATCATCTTGTCAACTTTCCGAAGTTTCCTACCGCTTGTTCCTGAATTTCCCAAGAGTTTCCTAGTTTTTCATGAAGACTTTGCCGTCGAGTGGGGGGAGGGGGGTGTACCAGCGCTAGTGAAACGGAAAAAGCAAAGTTGACAAGCGGAGAAAAAATTCTGGCAACGCCGTCAATTTCTCTCCCGGGCAAACTCGACTCCCATTTCCCAACGACGAGCAAGTCCGTACCCCCTCAGCACTGGGATCCTCACAATGAATAGCGCCCTTGAAACAGGAGAAAAAAAAACAATGATCAAAAAAATTTCTATCACCAAATACGACTCCTCCACTGGGACGTAGGACGAATCGACGTTCACCAACGTAGGACGTGCACTGAACAAAACACTATCTGATCCTTTGATACCAATTCGAAGAATTACGCGCTCCACTCATAACGCGGTCGCAGCTGTATAGTAATAGAAATAAGAAATCTGAGGGCGAACGGGGTATGCATTAAAGTGGGTAATCTTACTCATTTAATTACTGGTCAGTATTTGCAGGGAAAAGAAAGAGAAGAAGGGAAATAAGCCTATTCGGCAGAAGAGTCAGATACATCGACAGCAGTGGGTTTAAGAACAAGAAGACCGAGAACAAAAAGAAGCGTGGTAATGCAAGGAAGTCAAAATAGCTGCAAGATCGCAGGCTGTTGGCCGGTTGTTTCTGTTGACTGTGTTACTACTTTTAAGACATAAGGCAGCGTTCAGACATCGCGACGGCAGCGCTTCGGTCGCCTGTTCGGCGCGAGCGTACGCATGCTTTCAACTGCATTGATCGCGTCGAACGCGTGAACGAAACGCTGCTGTCGCGTAGTCTGAACGCTGCCTAAATGGCTGTACTTACGCCAGCAGTTGTAACTCAATTTCCTTGTTACGTTTTCTGCTTGTTGATCTTTATTGTTACTATCTGTTTATCAGCTTGTAATGCTTACAGTAATGTGGTGTAGTGTAATGCTTGCATGGAAAAGTGGAGAGAATTTCAATACATTACTTTATACAAATGAATAAATAAATTACAATTCTGTGAAGAACTATACACTGTAGTGACAATTATGAAAATACTATAAAAGAGAATATCACAATCAATACCTATGACCCTCCATGTGATGAAAGAAAGTGTGAGTCTTACAGAAATACACGTGAATTCCAAGTGCAAAGTTATACCAGCATCTGGTTGTATATTTACAAATAATAATCTGATATTCTGCATATATCACTGGTCCAATCACAGGGTAGACAGTATTCGAAATTTTGGTGAACGTGCGCAATGAATTGCCTTGGCTGAAAGTGAAACTTAGCAGAGTGCTTTCGTTCCTCGAAAGTGTATTGGCAAGATTTCAGAGTCGACGAGCCTGATTCAGAGGCAAGTGAATCGTGTCACACTAATTCTTCCGACCTCCCAATTATCAAGTGTTATTACATATATCCGTACTTAAATTCGGGAAGCATCGAGTACACTGTGTGGGATTAGACGGGTAAAGAGCGCCTTTAAGGCGGTGTGTTTTATTTCGTAATACTTCGAAATATGTCTTCGATATGCTATCTGAGAGCTACAATAAGTTGTTTGAGGTAACGAGGGCGCAGACGAAGAAAAAGAAGGAGAGACGGGCAAGAGAATCGTAAATTGCCGCTCCGTCGCGCGCGGCAATGGGCGCGACGTTTTCTTAATTTGCACTACCCATTCGATTGGAGCATCACATGCAGACAAGACACGGTAGACACTTATGTCTATTTTTGGGCGTGCATTGTCAATTCTCGACCAATACCACCTGAAATCGTCGTCATTAGCGGGCGCGACGTCGCACGAGACGCCCAATAGCGCAACAAATTACGATTCTCTTGCCACATACCCAAAAGGAAGAGACGTGTGTATAGAAGAAAAGTCTGCATAGGAATATACAGGTGTCGTGGCACCCCATTTCGCCTCGCCTTCCGCCTTATGGGCTGGTCGCCTAGCAGAGGTTTCAGTGTGACACAGAATTGCCCTATCCTGTAGAACTGTCACCTCGTTTTGAGGGTAGATGCTCAAATGGGAACAGTAACTTGGACAGGCATTTAGAGTATGCCGCGTTTGAATGGAGACCCAGGATATGGCGCTGGTAAAGATCTTTCGAAATACGACCACGGCTTCCTCGCTGAAGGATTCCTAGCGTACGATAAACTCTCACAAGTCTTGAGTACGCGATATGTAAGGAGTTGTGCTATGGGGAGCGCGTTGAGAGATTTTAACAAGGCAGGACAAAACGGTCCTTCGACTCCACCAGGAGCTTTCGCTCCACTCCAAAGTGGCCAGTACGTTCAGTGGTCTCCACCTGTCTAGGTTCTCTGTGACGTTGACGTCGCCTTATGATCGCTGACGACATGGGATCAACGGGGACGCTAAAGGGGGGGGAGGGTCATGTTACTGGTTTCGACATTCTCGTTTCATGTTTACTTCGCTCTCGGATCATTAAATACCTCTACGTTCATTTTGGATTGCTCACCAAACGGGGGTACTAATTGCCGCTAAAGTTTGAGCCACACCTCTCTCGTAAAATTCGTAAAGGATTCAGTTTGCGAAAAACTTACCCTATAATCTTCGTGATTATAAATGAAATACGCCGAATGAAGACTGCAGTGTATAGCGACGAGTAAATTAGTTGCGTCTGCTGCTCGAATAGCAGCCGTACTCTGAGAGGCGTACTTCAGTGAGATCACTATCACTAGGGGAATCTCGAGTAGAAGCAGTGTGGATACGAAGTGAAACTAAAATTCTAGATAATTTTGTTGGGATTTAATCCAGAAACAGCTTCTGAGAGACTTACGAGAACCGGTTTGTAGAGCGAACTATTAAGTTTTCGGGCCAATAGAACTCCAAGCGCTACCAGACATATTGTGGCGAATATAACTGAGATGTCGTAGGCTGAGATCACTGCGGTGTCCGTTGGTGACGACACGCATGATGTTGTTTCGGTAGTAACGTCTAAACAAGATGTGATGACCAAAGTCCAGGGCACAAGAACAAGGATTTGGACGCTATTTCACAGAGGAGACGGCCAATACAATCGTAACTTGCCCCGATCGTAACTCGTCCAGGGAGGCTGCTAGTTCCTTACTTAGGGTGTTCCCCATGATTTTTTGCTTTTTTCTTAGTCATAGTGTAGCGATGGCCGCTAGGTTTTCTCAATGTGTAATGAACTGTCGATTCGTAGCAGAGGATTTCATGTGAACTACGACATTCGATGCGTTTTTGGCCATTTTTGCTCATACGTCGCCTACTGTGCCACTGAAGATCTGAAAACTTTCTAATATGTCACGTCTTTGCCTGGCTCGACGTCGTGGGCCACATCCATCAGCGGCGGATTAGGATTTTCTTGACGCACACCTCCTACAAGGTGGGGCATCTAGTGCACAGCGGGAAGAGACTACTGTGAGCCTGGAGATGGAGAGTTTTGCCCCTAGAGCCTAGAGAGAAGGGTGAATGAACCCACTCATCTGTGCGAAAATTGCTTTGAGGGTTCCGTACCATAATGCCTCGACAATACTTTAATACCTGGTATCGAATTCATACCAGTTCCCTTTTTTAAATGAGGAATGATCCGTTACACCAATTAGGAGTTCTGTTCTGGGTCACCGAATATTTTCTGTAACCTGGTTCACATTGCAATCTTCCCTCAAACTGGAGAACTGGAAGCGTTTCTAATGGAGAAAGAGACTTTGATGAAAAGGCTTACCAATAACAATGAGCGCTGCCACGATGATTGCACACAAAAAACCTCCAACGATAAATGGAAGAATTAGCTGGGAGAGAAAGCTGCCAGCGACCAGTCGATCACTTCACATAACAATAAAAGCACCTAAAAACAGCAGGATGCTTACAACTACGTTCAGACTCAACAGTAGCACGCGTGGTATCTCATCATGGCGTTACCGCTGCAGTCGCTCTCTGATGCTATAGGCAGGATTGCAGCCATACAGGTGTACTGATCAGCGCTTTTTCGCTGGCCTTTTGGAAGAATATAGAAGAGTAGGAGTGTATCAGAGTGAGCGATTAGGCGTTACGAAACAGCAACGTTGCTATTTTCCGACAGCACTGCACACGTTTCTATTTCATGGCGCCTAGTCACACACCTCCTATAACTACTCTACTCTCCCGAAACACTAGCAATGGACGACGATCGACACCCCCCCCCCCTTCTTTGAACTCATTTTAACGGTGGCACGATGGCGCGCGATAGCAGGCGCCACAGAGCTACCATTAAAATGCTGGTAAATGGAAAAACTATCTGACCCAGACAGGGGCCAGAACTTGGGCCTCGAACTCTTCCACTAAGGTGCCAACTATCACACCACTGTGGCCTTCACCACCCACTCAACCGTGCTTATTTTGGGCACTGAAATTTAGGAATACAGAGCTAGCTCGGTATCATGAAGTTCGTTCACGATGTCACTCCAGAAACTCAACCTCATGTATCTCAGGTGGATTTGGTCGGCACAGAAATCAGAGGGCAGAGAGCAGATGGCAGGGTTGTTGTCGTCCAATGGTTCTCGAGGGTGTCCTGGGGTTTCCGAAAGTCCCGGTGAGGAATGCAAGACCTTCTTCAACTGAGCAGACCCACATTCGGGAACCGTGAAGGACTGGCGTTATTCTACCAAATGTCGAATGAAGGGCCACTTAGTAAGGAGTCGCCTTTGAGGGTAGAATCATAAAGAATTAGTCACTAGTCGCTTCTAATGCACAAGTGAACCTTCATGGTAACTCTCGTTCTGTAGCGTAGCAAATCACGGATACACCACTATCAATATCTGAGGAAGAATGCTCTCAGAAAATTTCGTTCCTGACAAAGGGCACACGAGAAATCGCTGGGGTAAACCAAGGGTTTATTGAGCTAGGAACACTCATGAAGTCCGCACACGAGGTCTAGAATCTTGAAAGAATCGCACCACATTTGGTGCACTTGGTCATTGGGGATAGTACTCCTATACGGTGTTAACAGGATCTATTCCAAACAATGGGCTTTTCCTCTTCATCTGTAAAATTCACCACTCTCCATACACCTTCTCACCCGCCATAGTAGCGGCGATGCGAAAATCCTATAAATAAAGAATAAAATCTTCGCCGTTGTATCAATCCCTTTGTGGGATGCGGCACGCATTCTACTTCCATTCAGAATCGTAGTGGCTTATTGAATGCGATGTGCTATACAATGACTTTCGGGGATTAGCCGATGCACAAGTCGGTTCCTTCCCCTCCCCCCTCCCAAACGAATCTGGTACCAATTCACCGTCCCCGGAGGGTAGAAGGCTTGGATTGGCCTGCGGGAGTCGACCCGGGATTTGAACCCGGGACCGCGCGAGTGGTAAGCGCCCCATTTGTGACTAAACCACCGCCGCCTCGAAAAACCTATACAACAGCTTATTTCGATAGCTGGAAGTGGTGGATGACTAGTGACCCTCCTCCCCTGCTCCTTGCTCGACGGCTGTTTTTTGAGGGAGAACTGGAAAATGTTTTCGGATAGTGGGAGTAAGAGGAAGAAAGTTGGGGAACAATAAGGAAAATGGTAGGTAGAATGAGGGCGATGGGACTCGTTCGGGGGAGGAGGGGTCTCTGAACCGCCATTTCTCCCTCCAAGTGCTGCTCACTGTGCAAACGACGCTCGGTTAGTGCTGCTCACTGTGCAAAACGACGCTCGGTTATCGCTCTTTTCTTTGCAAAGAGACCTTAGACTTCTTTGATATCCTTGTTGTGAAGGGTCATCTAGTTGTGTTGTACTATGTTCTAAAATTGTTATTTTCTTGATTAAACTTTTTCGAGCTGAAAAGCAGCACTCACCTGCAGTAAAGGTATGCATGTAGAGATCACCAGCACTGCACCGCACTGCTCTTCATTTAGCCGGTCCAACGATCCGATCACAATAAGAAATGTTCCGATAATCACGTCCACCACGAATTTCACTAAAACAAGTCATATAAAATCTGTCGCTGTTACCTTCTTTCATCAAGATTTCGCCCTCAATTTCTTCAGCGCAATCGTTAGAAACAGCCGGCGTTAGAGGGGAGTGTACATTGAAGAAGACAGTCAGTAAGCCGTCGCCGGTCCGAACAGACAGATGCGTAGGCAGTGTGTGCATAAGAGAGGTCGACAGCACAAATGGAAGTTGTCGCTTCTCAGACTCTCTGCCTTAACCGGCAACTCTTTAAAAATCCGCGGTCGCCGCAGCGTTCATAGCTAATAAGTCGATGTCGTTCCTCCTCCAGTGCCAAATATGAACTTAGCTAGTGTCCCTCGCTCCCCTAAATGGCTGCTTTTAGGGCTTAAAGTAAGTGCGCCCGAAGAAGCTGCTCAAAAATAAGCTTAGGACTGAATTCGTTGTCGAGACAATCGCAAAAATTCCGCGACTAGGCATGCCGCTACCACGTTGACATTAGACCCGTTTTGAAATTTGTGAGGCTCTGGAAGGAAAGAAAAGTCTAAGAAACTCGATAAAGGAACAAGAAGTCAAAGCACCCAGACAAGACCCTCTCTTGATAGGACAAGTGTTGGCCAATTCATGACAGCTCACAATGTCTCTGCCTATACCAGAGGATATGTATACAGTATCGTGATGGTTGGCAGATAGGTGCGAATCGTAACCGCTACAAAAAAGCCCGACTGATAAGGATTTGGCCATTAATGAAGCACTTTTGAAAAGGTGTACACCCTCTCCTTCCATTCAGAAAACGTAATGCTTCTGAATATTATGCGGCCTACGCTATGACTTGCCGGCGCAGTGGGTGGCGGCTACCTATCCAAAAGTATCCCTCCTCACAAGTCTCGCACCAGTTGGCTAGCTCTATACAATTGATGGAGATTCCTCAACAGGGGGGGGGTGTCATATGTGGTCGCTGGGGGTCGCACTCGCTCGCTCTTGGGAGAGAGGAGAGTCGTACCCCACCCCTACTCGACAGCTCGATCGTATCAGAGGAGGGAACTAGGAGGGGAATCGTACGGGCCCCACCAAAATCCTCAACCAATGATGTGCTCTGGCTCCAGTTGGATGGGTAGCTCGGCTTGGCTCGGGTCTGAGATGAAGCTGAATGGTAAGCAACGCCACTTGCCCCTCTATCACCTCTGAAAAAACAATAATGCCATGTTATCCTATTATATTTTCGGTTACTGCTGCTAATATTGATGGTTTGAAGACGAATAAATATATAGAAACGGTTCAAAACCATTTCCTGGCGTTTCCAGTTTTTTTGACTACTGTATATTATCATTTGAAAAGTAGCTCTTTTAGGTGCAGATGTGTTATTGTACAACTATTAAGAAAAAAAAACAATGAACGCCAAATGACTTTCCTTTTCTCTCCTCTGTCAAAGGAAGGAGTTAAGGGGACAAAGTCCGATTATCTGCGAAGCTATTTCAGTAGAAGCTTCTTATGACGCCCGAATCATTATCACGTAAGGAGATAATAAAAACGCTGCGCACGAGACAGTGCATTTACAGCTACCGAATTTTTGAGACCAATCGGAAACGCCCGAGAAACCTTGGTCTTTTCCCGGACTGAGATTATTGGGAATTGCACATGCCATAGTAGTATCCGATTCGGGTGGAGAACTCATGGTCGATGGAAGGACCATACTGCAAGGCTCGGGCTCGCAAACATCCCCATAAATTTGCTCCAATACGTGTGTAAGCTTGAACCGAAATTGTACGTATATGTAATGGAGCAGTGGTAACAGGCGCTACATGAGTCCTGCATGATATATGTCAAAACCTGTCATCAAGAACGCTGATACAACCAAGGTAAAAGGGTTGCAACAACCACATTCTGCTGCCGGAAACATCATTGAGATCTCCAGTGGACCTGAAGTGCGCGGACGGATACGCCTAATGGCGCACAGCTGCTGTGGCGCTATGTTGTGTTGGGCTCTAATGAGAAGCATCGTATTTGCCTCGGGTTTTGTCATGTCGTCCATCGGAGCGGGTTGAATAACAAAGAAAAAAATCCACGTACTTAACGCTTTCGGCATAGCGCACCCTGGACAACCTGTCTCTGAGGTCTGACCCATTTCCGTCACCTGCCTGCACGCAAAAACCAGGAGACTCGCTGCGTAAAATGCAATTCATCTGATGATTTACCTCTTAGGCAACTCGCAGCGATCTGGGAACATTTCCTTCATATTCCCTGAGCTTGCGAGGTTCTCAAGTGGAGTATTAATTAACGTTTTGACCAGATTGTCGTGTTCGCGGGAGGTTCAAGAGATCCCGATACGTAATTGAGACTACGCACGCGCGTCATTTACACCATGGAATGGAAATGACGCGCGCGCGATTGGACGCCAAATCGCTAAATTAAATTAGTACTAATTGTTGAATGCAACGCGTGCCGAGCTAGTTTCTTTCATTGGGGCATCTCGTCTGTCTTGATCTGCGAAGTTCTTCTTCAGATGGTAGTCAACCGTAGTTGGTGGAAGGTATTCACTGGTCGTGAGGTTTTGGTGTGATGTCAGGGCCAGACAAGCAAACTCTTACTTGTAAATACTTCGAAGGCCCGGTCCGCGATCAGATATTGAAGTTGAAAATATGGCGCTGGGAGGGTAGTGTGGTCCGCGACGAACAACCTTGTACCGGTTTCGCGGCAAAAAATTGTAAGGGAGGGGCGCTATAGCGCAATATAGGTTCAGTGTTCCTCCTTTTTTCCAGTGACTCCGCCTCCAGACTCCGCCTCCAATGCCCGGCTTTCAGTGAAAAACGAGATTGCAGGACGAAAAAGCATGAAAATCGTCACTTGTACGGTCGTAGAGTTCTTGTAGGGGAATCAGCTGTGCGGATGGGGGAGTATATTGGAAATGGATTCAATTGGGCACGTACAAATAAATAGGGGATCGAAGTAGGATTCTACCTAGGGCAGGTGGCATGTTTTTCTTAGCTATCGAGTTTTTCAGCTTCTTGTCATCTATATGCAAACCCCTAATCCACTATCTGCTATGGTGAATGATCGCGGGCTCTGTGTTCAGAATATTTATTAATAGTTGTGGGTCTGAGGCGGAGGTGGTGTAGTGACAAGTGGCGCGCTTACCACTCGCGCGGCGCCGGGTTCGAATCCCGGGTCGACACCCGCCCAGGCCAACCAAGCCTTCTACCCTCCGGGGACGGTAAATTGGTACCAGATTCGTCTGGGAGGATAAAACACTGACTTGTACATCGGCTGGCCACCGCAAGTCATTGTATAGGCCACATCGCATTCAATAAGCCACTACGATTCTGAATGGAAGTAGAATGCGTGCCGCATCCCACAAAGGGATTGATCAACGGCGAAGACTTTATCCTTTATCCTTTTTAGTTGTGGGTCTGACCCATTCGAGCTGCGAGTGTATGACCACAAAATATTACATTGATCGAGCGATGCTTCATCAGCAGTGAACTTACAGTCGTCATCCTTGCACTTGATAGTCAATG